TTAAAACACAGAAATAAAAAAAAAATTGTTGACTGCCCGAGCACAGCCCGAGTATCAACTGAGTGAGTCACGTTTTTGAGCCAATACTAATTACCGATAGCGTAAATAATTGCCTTTTTACTAAGATTTAAGTACACTTGCGACGACTCACGTGAAAACGTAAACACGAGGTCTTTGTACTCGTTACGAATTAAACACCATAATTATCACTTTTATGACTGAATTCACAACCTGTATGACGTATGTGATAGGCACGTCTTGGAAAATCTGCCCACAAATACTTACAGCCGCGTAATGGTGCCCAAGGGTTAATGTTCAGCCAAACCAACGCGATCAGCCGGCGCTGCACACCGGCTGATCGCGTTGGTTTGGCTGAACCTTTAAAAGAAGTAGAGAAATGGTACATTTTCACAATAAACCGTGACCGTTAGTGTCTCTCAGACTAGACTGTCGGCCGATAGTTTAATCGGGCTGTTAGTAAGTATTACACATTGAACAAGTACCTAGGAATAAAAGTAAGCACATTTACTGATTTCGTATCGGCCGATTTCTCATACAAATTAAAAATCGTTAAAAATCCTGTAGTCTGCGGGGACTCGTTAACACTTGTCCAATAACTAGGTAGGTACTATTTAATTTTACCAGCATAACAATTCTACGCAATAAAAAAAATACTTTCCTAAAATGATTTAAAGAGTAAAAGTTTGTATTATTTATAACTAGCTGACCCGGCGAACTCTGTTCCGCCTTAATGGCAGTAAATAAGCAAATTTTGATCGTTTAGACCTACCCTGGACTACAACAAACATCGGCTACAGCTCAATCGGGGCGGGGTCAATCGGCCCAGCCGTTCTCGAGTTTTAATCAGACTAACGAACAGCAATTCATTTTTATTTATATAGATGCATAGAATAAGAAAACTACTGTAAAATGTCTACATCTATCTACGTATTGTTAAATACTAAGAATTTTAAATATTATCGAGTTTATCAAACGACATTATGTGTTTTTTTTTAATTATTCACGTGGTGTAAAATAGGTCTAAAGACTGCGCGTAGCAGGGTAGGTAAGTCTAATTGCAAAACACTTAGGTCTTTTGCGTGAAAGAGTAACAAACATCCAGACATCCAAACTTCCGCATTTATAATATTACCTAGTAGGATAATAATTATTGATATGTTTGTTTGCTTGTATCATTGAATCAATTTTGACGAGTCGCTATTTAGGGATATGAAAAAAGTTAAAATGTTAGATAAGAAAATACATACACAGATATTACAATACATAGTAATACTGAAATGTTAATGTGCTTCGAAATAGTTAATTTCTGTTACAGAAATCCGACCCGAAACTGCAGGTAGAAGTTAATATTCCAGATCACTTTATTTACATTATTTTGCATATTTTAATAACAAAAACACCAGAATTATATATATATATATATATATTTTCAATTTAATACTTATAACTTGTTTTCTAAAAGTTTACATTCAGTGGCCTCTTTTTGATTTTTGCTCTTAAAAATCTCGGCTATTTCATACAAAGTTTTGTCTTTGGTTTCTGGCAAGTACTTGTACTCTAAAATTATAATTATTGTGGCGCAGATACCAAAACCCAAGTATGCCCCCTCAAAACCCAGAGAGTTGAAAACATATGGAGAGACTTTGACAATACTACTCATTAAAAACATCACAAAAATAGTATAGAAAGCAGCGCAAACACTTCTTAACTCAAATGGAATCAATTCAGCTGCTATAGTTGCCGCCATTATTATCGGGCCACAGCATATTGACAAAGTATATCCAACCAACAAGCTAATGATAATGTACGCATTTTCTGAAAACACAGATAATTTAATAAGGTAGAGGTAAATACTCATCGTGAATAAAAATATTATGCCTGATATTGTCATCGATAGTAGTAGCGTCCTTCTTTTAAGTATTTTAGATAAAACGCTGCCAACATACATCCCTAATATAGTAAATCCGTCTATTGTCAACACGCCGATGTGCACCGTTGACTGGTTCCCACTTAACTTCTTCATCATTTCAATGGCGTAGACAGCGCATGCCAGCTTCCCCGACAAATGATAGATCGACCCGGAGAGGCAGGCAAGAAGTAATGGCTTGAAGACCTCGGGCTTCTTGATATCTATTCGAAAATCTTTGAAATATTGTCGCAAGGATGTGATCGAATAATTTTTTTCGTTAATTTCTTTGACAGAATTTAATAGCGCTGTTAGTTCTTTTTCTGAATTCTCGTCAACTCCTTTCATCCATCGGTGGGCCTTGGCACATTCGTCGTGCTTTCCTCGATAGGCCAGCCAGTATGGGGACTCCGGTATGAACAAGCAAATGATTAAGCAAAAACCGGAAAAACCAATTCCGATGAGTCCAATGTAGTTATAATGCGTGAAGATTCCGGTTGCGTTTGCAATCCAAACACCCCAGAAAAATGACGATGATTTTATAGTTAGCAGTACTCCTCTGTACTGAGGAGATGAGTATTCCGACAGTATCAATAAACATATAGAAGTCGAGGCACTTGCCGGCAGTCCAAATAAGAGTTGGCATATGACTAAATGCATAGGAGTTTTACTAAAGTAAATAACTGCAGAGGCTATTAATGAAGTGAAGGTAAGAATAATCAAGGTCAACTTCCGCCCCCAGTAGTGAGAGATGGGAACCACTATGAAAACGCAAAGGGCTCCTGAATAACCTATGGATGCACCTGAAAAAATAATAATATTATGAGTCAAATTTATACGAATAATTGCTTTATTCTTTTTTCTTTCAACCGTTTGATCACAAGCTGTGTACATTCGCTGTGGGAGTTCATATTGTTTAGCCTGATAGGAATAAGAGCTGGTGAACGCCAGACCTACGCTCCACAAATTGACGGAGTAATCGATGAACATACATACAAAAACATACATACATACAGTCGAACATAAAGCCTCCTCCTTTTTCTCCTCCTTGTTTTCCTTTAAAACATATTTTAATATACAGGTGATTTTGTTATCAGTATCCAAATTTTTAGGAACGACTCAGAATCAGTAACTTAATCGATTTACGTAAAAAAAAAACAAAATATTTTTTTAATAAAATATTAATTATTCTTTTTTTTTTGTTTCAAAGTTGGCTCACGTGGATAATTTGCTTCGTTCATAGAAAAATACGTACTATCGCCAATAACAGTGTTAACTGCCCATTGAAAGTCATGTCATCTCGTTCTATCGCAAAGAATCGCCATTTGATTAGAATGGATAGTAACAGTGTGGGCGTGTGTACACACAAATTATTACAAAGATAGACATAATGGTACGCGAAAATAAAACTTAATCTTTATAAATTAAGATAATGGGCACCCACGAATTAGATTTTCAATAATTTTTTTTCGCGAAAAATACCGCGATTGAGAATAATAAGGATAAAGTTTTATTTCTAAATTGTTCTATAGAGCTTATTAAAAATATTGGATACTGATAACAAAATCCTCCTGTATTTAGGCAATGATTATAAGTAGTTTCCTCATCAGCCAGATAGTTGTGACGGTTCCAACAATCTTTTAGGGTATCTATTAAAGCCACGATGACCCAAACCTCATAATGCACCAACATTTTTACCTATGTTGGTCTGTCTGGCGTTCACTAGCTCTTATTCTAGAATGGTAGGGATTGGTTTTAATGAGGGTTTTTGCGTATGAAAAATCCGCCAGATGGCAATACGTAGACGCGAGGTCCAAATGCTGCATGATTGGTTATTTTTGACATGACATTGACAGACTTGACAAAATCCACCAATCACGCAGCAGTCTCGCCATCTAGCGGATCTTTCATACGCGAAAACCCTCATTAAACGAGAATTCAAGTCATAGCATCATCATAATAAGCATAATATCGCCATATAATAGGAAAACAAAAAAAATAGTAATTAATTAACATTGGTGATGTCAACTTACAACTACCCTGTTAATTTGACCACTCACTTATCCAGGAAGACATCTCGTTGCTGACAACGGCTGAGGAGTTGGCTTCCAGCCTCAGCTGAGGAATCGCCACCGTGGGAGTGCCCATGGCAAGCCCGATCGAGAGGAAACAGATCCATATTATAAAGGCCACGAGTACCTGAAAGTGGTGTGCTATAAAAATGCAATCCGAATTTTTCTTTTTTCTTTAATATAAAATAATAATTATGAATTTCATTACATTGTCAAAAATAAAATGCAACTATAAACCCAAGTATTATTATTTCTAATTTAAAAAGTAGATTAATAAATTTAAGTATAAAAAAATTTAATAAATTAAAAAAGTTTACCTGTCTGAATATATGAGTCCATCCCGTTTTCGCTCGACCATTAATAGCTTTATATTCTGTTTCCATTGTTTTATTTTATTTGCCTAGAAGATAGAATAGTCATCACCTGAGGTGGCGTATAACTAACTGAAACAAGTAATTATATCTACAATACCGGAAGCTTTGTATATCACCGTGTCAAATACGAAATTTTAACCGCCTCTGTTGTCTAGTGTTACGACCATTGCTGACCCAGCGGTTCGAATGCGATTCAAAGAGTAATAACTTCTATCAAGTTAACTATATGAAGGTCACATGGCCTGGTGGTGTAGGTCGCGGAAGGTAGCTGGATGCAGCGTAGGTCCAGTCGTTGTGAACATCCTTGGAGGTCTTCGTTCAGCAGTGGACGTCATTTGGCTAAAACAATATATTTTTTCTTTAAATGATTTCGTGGAAGGTAGTTGTGACGGAAAGCAGATCGAGCCGTTTTAAATATTTATAAATAATGTTTAGTAGACTTCAGTACTGTAATAAGTCAGGTGTTATTTTGTGTTTACAGTAGCTTAATCTCACATTAAGTTACTAAATTAAACGCGTATGTAATTAATAGTTGAGCCACTTTATTTAAAGTAACTAAAATCAGTGTAAAATAATATAAAACTTAAGAAATCTTACAAAACTAAAATTAAAACATTATAATGATTATTACGTTTCTAATGCTTTAGTCTCTGGATCATTACTTTCTAAAAGTTTACATTCAGTAGTCTCACTTTGTTTTTTGATTTTAAACATCTCAGCTATTTCATACAAAGTTTTGTCTTTGGTTTCTGGCAAGTACTTATACTCCAAAATAATAACTATTGTAGCGCAAATACCAAAACCCAAGTATGCTCCTTCAAAACCCACAGAGTTAAAAACATATGGGGATACTTTGACTACGCTACTCATTAAAAGCATCACGAAAATAGAAAAGAAACCAGCGCAAACACTTCTTAACTCAAATGGAAATAATTCAGCAGCTATTGATGTCGCCAATATCATTGGGCCACAGCATATTGACAAAGTATATCCAACCAACAAGCCAATGATAATATACACATTTTCTGGTAACACAGATAATTTAATAAGGTAGAGGTAAATACTCAACGTAAACAAAAATATTGTGCCTGATATTGTCATTGACAGTAGTAGCGTCCTTCTTTTCAGTATTTTCGATAATCCACTGCCTACATACATCCCTAAAATACTAAATCCGTCCAAAGTCAACACGCCGACGTATACCGTCGACTGGTTCCCACTTAACTTCTTCATCATTTCAATGGCGTAGACAGCGCACGCCAGCTTCCCCGACAAATGATAGATCGACCCAGTGAGACAGCCAAGAATTATAGGCTTGAAAACCTCAGGCTTCTTGATGGCTGTTCGACTGTCTTTGAAATATTGTCGCAAGGATGTAATCGATTGCTTCTTTTCGTTATTTTCTTTGACAGAATTTAATAGCGCTTTTAGTTCTTTCTCAGAATTTTCGTCAACTCCTTTCATCCATCGGTGGGACTCGGCACATTCGTCATGCCTTCCTCGATAGGCCAGCCAGTAAGGCGACTCTGGTATGAACAAGGAAATGATTAAGCTAAAACCGGACCAACCGATTCCGATGAGACCAATGTACTTATAATGCGTGAAGATTCCGGTCGCGTTTGCAATCCAAATGCCCCAGAAAAATGACGACGTTTTCATAGTTAGCAGTACTCCTCTGTACTGAGGAGATGAGTATTCAGAGAGTATTAATAAAAATACAGAAGTCTGTGCGCCTATTGGTAGCCCAAATATGAGTTGGCTTATGAGTAAATGCATAGGCGTTTTACTAAAGTAAATAACTGCAGAGGCTATTAACGTAGTGACAGAGAGAATAATCATGGTGAACTTCCGCCCCCAGTAGTGTGCGATGGGAACCATTATGAAGACACAAATGGCTCCCGAGTAGCCTATGGATGAACCTGAAAAAATTGTAATTGTCAATACGAAGAAGATTGTCCTGCATTAAAAAATGGCAAACATTCAAGAACGTCATTGATCACCTGGGAGAAAAAGTAGTTGAATTTTTAAGATTTCTGTTCTGGTCTACTCTATTAATTTGATCACTCACTTATCCAGGAGGACATCTCGCTGCTGACAACGGCAGAGGAGTTGGCCTCCAGCCTAAGCTGAGGGATCGCCACCGTGGGAGTGCCCATGGCTAGCCCTGTCATGAGGAAAGAGATCCATATTATGAAGGCCACGAGTACCTGAAATAGAGTGGTAGGTATGCCTTTAACTCGGGACAAACTTGATCTTCACTGGTTGGGTGTTGTTTGATTGCGGCCAAGCTGTAGATCCTGGCTACACAGGAGTTGCAGCGGTGGGAACGAGAGGTAGGAATAGCCCCGTTATTAAAGAGTGTGATGAAATTAAAAGTTCTGAAAACTTAAGCTTTACGTGCAACTGATGAGCACTGAGTACTTGAACTTACTTTGACTTACTGATAATAAAATATTAAGATGTATTTTTGGATTTTAAAGTAGATTTTTGAGAAATAATAAATTCAACCATCCAAGTGGGGCATTTTACTTTTTAGTGCTCTTTGTGGGAGGCAGTGGACTGACTACGGCTGATGATATTCTAAAACTTGAAGTATGTACAAATTAATAACTGATTCATACTTTTATCGAGTAAAAGTCAAACCTCGCGATTATTTTCTTCACTTTAAAATTAATTTAACCCAGTCCGCAAATACATTATAATAATAATCATCTAAGCAAAAATGTGATTAACTACTCGAAAAATTACCTCAGAAATATAAAGCGAGTTAAAAATAATAGTATAAAGGATTATATTAAAAACTACCTGTCTGAAAAAAGGAATCCATTGTGTTTTCGCTCGACCGTTAATAATTTTGTATTCTGTTTCCATTATTGTATTTTACTTTCTTAAAAACAGTAGTCATCACCTGAGGTGGAACGTATAACAGACTGAAACAAGTTATTGTACTTCGCTGCAAGCATCATTTATTATGACCGTATCAAATACGAATTTTTTCCCATTATCAGACTCAAACAATGTTAAACTATGTGCATATGTTAAGATAGAAGGTTCGAAACATTACGTTAAAAATAGCGACCCAATAAAACGATGTTTTTCTGAGAAAGCTACTCGCATAACATTTATAATTAAAATTGTTTAATAATCTTCTCTTCTAGTCTACAAATGATTCAGTGGAAAATAGTTGAACGGAAAGCATGGTTGAATCGTTTTAATACATTTAAGTTATTGTTTCTTAGGCTTGTACACAATTCTAGTGTTATTTTGTGTAGGGAAGTGAAACATAATTTGGGTGCACAACGTATCTCGCGAATTATTTGTCGTGGTTATTAAAAACTTGCACTTACCCAATTTATTGGGGATTTGAGATTCTTCTTAAATTGAATATAAATACACAAAAAGCACTCTGTTGTACCGTATAGCGCTCCATCATGACTAAAATTGCATGAAATTATACACAATTTCCCATCATCCACGCGTCCCTGCCTCGAAACGTTTTCGAGAAATCAAGCGTTACAATTTGCAAAAATAGAGGAACACGGGTCTCAACATGACATTATACTCGTCATCATCATCATCATTTCAGCCACAGGACGTCCACTGCTAAACATAGCCTCCCCTAATGACTTCTACATCGCACGGTTGGTAGCGGCCTGCATCCAGCGCCTTCCTGCTACCTTTATCAGGTCGTCGATCCACCTTGTGGGTGGACATCCCACGCAGCGTTTTCCGGTACGTGACCTCCACTCCAGAACCTTGCTGCCCATCGGCCGTTAGTTCTGCGTACTACGAGTATGTGTCCTGCCCATTTCTACTTCAGTTTGCTAATCCGTTGGGCTATGTCGTAATATAAGTTACATAATTATTCACGGCTTGTCGTTTCGGCTACTATGCTGCCGCAGTGGTCACAACCAGAAAGGCGGTCCGCGGTGTCGTCCGTTCGGGTGGGCTCTCAGATCATATAAGGGAATAGATGTGAAACGGGGGCGTGGCGCGTGTCTCCGCGATATGCCCAGAAACGAACATCTCCCGCGAAGCCAGGTTAGTCGCGATTCAGTCGTACTGAGGATTAATGTTCTCCGATATTTTTGGATAATGCGTCGTAGGTACGTGCCCTGTAAGTGCCTATTTACTCTCGCCTTGAAAAGGAGAGAGTTCTATCTATGTAAGAAAAATTTTGTTTTCTTTCAACTGTCAAATAGATGAAGTTTTTTTAGCCCCTTCCTTCCTGGCCTGGGAATTTGTACCATTAGCCGAATACTTGTAAGTTGTCTGTCAATATAGTCCAGCACTTGCCAAATGTTTGTCTCGAAGCGCTGGTAGGGCAAAAAAAGAATGAGACATGTATAGGCTCCTTAAGAGCATTTGACGATTTGCAAGAACTAATTTAATTAGTCTAAACAAATAAAGAAAATTTTGATTTTGATTTTGATTTTGAAAAGTCCCGAGGTCAGAAATTGTGTTCCACGGATTTCTCTCTACACCGTCGTTAAAGCATTCATTGACTGGACAAATATTCTTTCATGTCGTTAAAATAAAAGGTTTGCTTCCAGTTTGCTTCATTTACAGTTTTAAACTTTAAACTTGTACTTTTATAAATGTCCGACTGTAGTGATTACATATCTATATAAATATTCATAAGTAACAGGTTTTGATAATATTTCCTGGATGTGGCGGGGTATGAAGTTCATATTCTTGTTGGCAGATTTCTGCCTCAATCTTGTACAATCTACATTATTTTTATTCATAAAACAACGGAATTGGATGACTCACGCACTCTTTACTGCCGTTCTTGTTGCATATTTGACCTACAGTAGATAAAGAAGCAGTGAACCCACTTTCTAGTGCTATTTTTGCTTAATGTAAGTAGTAAGTATCGCTTACACAAAATTATGACCCGTTCAGCACTACTATTAACGCTCGTTTTTCTATGACGCCCGACCGCTGCTCCGTTGAATTGTCGGTGTTGACGGTAGACTGCAAAATTGTACACCGTTTGTTTTTTGTAAACGTTAATGTATGTTAAATTCAATGAATTGTTTGTAATTGATTGATTTAGATAATAAGGTTAGTCACATACCTCTTTCATTTATGGTTGGATGCCCAGTAGATCTGAACCTTCTGTTTCAGGTTATGTTGTATATTTTCCTTGAATTTTACGGCTTTTGCTGAAAAGGAGCTTTTTAAATCAGCCTGCATAGGAAAGCAGAACGCGTATGTCTACTTCAGAGTGAAACACCATATTAAGTATCAGTATGCAAATCAGCAAAATGTAAAATAAATGTTTTAACGACTTAAGCGTGTATCTATTTATACTACTAATATAAAGCTGAAGAGTTTGTTTGTTTGTTTGATTGAACGCGCAAATCTCAGGAAATACTGGTCCCGCATGGGCATGGTGGATCCCGTGTAGGGCGGGACATCCGTGGAAGGCATCCTGGTCGTCTCTAGTACCCAAGGTGCCGACCACTATGCGGCAGAGGGTACACCACAGGTTTTTAGTGGGTTCGAGCCACATAACCTGCCGCCCTCCGCGGTAGGTATGGACAGGCTATTTTCCTGGGTAAAAAAGGAACTACTGGTTTGATTTGAAAAATTCTTTTAGAGTTGGATATCCCATTTATCGCGGAAGGCTTTAGGCTATATAACATCACCTTACAGCCAATACGAGCGGAGCAGTGAAGAAAAATGTTGCAAAAACGGGAAATATATATCAAACTATTTTCACGCGTACGAAGTCGCGGGCAGAAGGTAGTGTTATTATTATTGCTTGTACAGACGGCGCGGCAGATAAGGCTTAACACTGTGGCGTCGTAAGTACTCGTATACGTTATTTACAACAAAAATGTTCAGTCTGACGAGTTGTAGACTGTACACGTAATAAAATTTTAATAAATCATTTGCTGTAACTATCACATGCATAACATACGAGTATATAGGAACTAGTAAATCATATTTGTCCGTTCTTTTAAGTAAAATGATAATGAAATATAGCGTCAATTAGCGCCATCATCATCATTTCAGCCATAGGACGCCTTATAAAACTCATTTATTTCCGTAAATAGGCTTAAAAAAGCACTTTTACACGTCCCAGTATTAACCCTACCACTGCTTCAAGACAATAAATGGGCCAGTGCTGAGAAGAAGCAGCGCATGAAACTCAGTCACTATCGTCAGCCTCTTTTTCAAAGATCTACTGATGAACATAGGCCTCCCGCAATGATTTCCATAATGATCGGTTGGCAGCTGTCGTCGGTCAACCTTGCTACAAGTGTCATTAATCAAGTCACAGGTCACACTGAACACAAAAAACAGACATAATTATGTTCTGTCTAATTATAACTCCGTTTAAAAGACTTTATTGAAGTGTTAATGTGAAACTCTATTTTGATTACCACTATCGGGACTAGGAATTCAATCATGTCCAGCGAGGTGCGATGCCTTCCGCACCCGGCCATTTATTGAATGCGATGTTTACGCGACTACGCCAGGAGCCAGGAAGTCAATCCTAAGCTTCGAACTGTTCCTGATTTTTTGTGGGTATAACTTTCTACAGGATCTAACATAGTGAACCTTCATTGGTTGGACACACAGATCACAGAAACTAAAGGGAGATGAACTAAAGGTGTCGCAGCAATATGCCCAAAAATTGCTCGTGAAAGCAATGATGACAGCAGCGACGTCATAATGTAAACAGTTCACATTGCTGGCGTAGAAAGATTATTCGAAAATCGAGTACTGATGCCGCAGTGGATAATGGGTACATAATTTTTGATTACTTTGTGTGTGTGAATTTCTAATGCGACAGTGAGTTTCGAACTCAGCGCATTAGTTGGCATCTCTCTATATCTTTCTCTATGGTTGGACATTATTGCGGAGAATTATTTAAATTGGAGGATTGAACTTCAGTCTCGTGTAAGATATTTATACAATGTTTAACAAGCCAATCTATAAACAGCTGTTTAACAATAACATGAACGGTTTGTTCTTTTATGGTAGGCCTTGATTATAATAATGGCTCAGTAATATGCACACCGAAATGGGTATAGTTACCATGTGGTGCTCAGCTATTGCCATCATGCAAAATTTTATCATACTGATTTTGATAAAAAGTAAGTAGGTATTTTTATTATAAACCAACCAAGTTTTACCAATGTATATTTTAGAACCGGGTAATTAAGTGACAATAAGATAAGATTCGCACGTCTATAAAAAGTACCGCATAATTTACATGGTAACTTAAACATTCTGTTGTGTGACGTCTCTCATTCACCTTCAAGTGATTTTACGCATTATTCGCGTGTCGCGATCATTGTGAAGGTTCGGCCAAACATGCGTGCAGCCTGCCTGATGGCGATTCTCCCGATTTCTCCTGATCGCCATCGCCATTCACACGCAGGCTGCACGCGTTGGTTTGGCCAAACCTTAAGAGTGTTATCATTTATTTTTATACCTATTTTAGAGAAAGGAAAACAAAAATTAAAACGTAGCGCTGTTGCCACGTAACTATCTTAACTTTAAGTGACTGGCTCCTTGACTAGCTACAGCAGTCTGATATCGATGGCTCCTACGTATACTGGCGTAAGTGAAAAAAGTAAATTTTACAGGAGAGCCATTTTAGTGGCCAGAACCATATTTTTGGGTCATATCTTCTGACCTACTAAAACGAATTTAATGAAATTTCACATTTAGCCTTAACATGTAATGCTTTTGCTACTGCTGTTATCAATTTTTATATTTTTCTTATATATTTTGAGATTTTACGCATTGCCCTTTTACGTCGGCATATTTCTATAATTTCATGTACCTATATTGTTCAACGTAAAGAGACTTAAATGACAACGTAAATATAATATTTTAAGCGATTACTCTCTTTATTTATGCATGTAATTATTTTAATTGTTATCATGT